AGGGCTTGTAAGGGTAGTATTGCTGTGAAAAAAGAGGCTTCACCATCGCCATATTGCTGTTGTTAGCGTGTGCCAGGGATGTGGGGCTGCTAGTGAGACTATTTCACATGTTATTTTTGAGTGCCATGATGTTGCTGTAATATGGGCTGCTAGGAGCTTAGCAATTTTGTATGCTGGCTTAGCCATCTTGGTTCTATAGAAACAAATGTTTGCATCAAGGACAAGAGTTTGCATGAGAGTTTAGAACATATGAAATATATTGAACATAAACAGAAAATTTTAGAATATAGGGAAAAAAAATTTAGAACATAGAGAAAATTTTAGAACATAGGGAAAAAAATTTAGAACATAAGCATGAAACATTTAGAACATAGGAAAAAAAAAATTAGAACATAGGACAAAAATTTAAAACATAAGCAAAAAAAATTTAGAACATTGGAAAAATTTTAGAACATAAGCTTGAAACATTTAGAACATAGGAAAAAAAGAAAAATTAGAACATAGGACAAAAATTTAGAAAATAAGCAAAAAAATTTAGAACATTGGGAAAATTTTAGAACATAGGGAAAAAATTTAGAACAAAAGCATGAAACATTTAGAACATAGGACAAAAATTTAGAACGTAAGCAAAAAAAAATTAGAACGTAGGTAGAAAAAAAATATAGAACAAAAGAAAAACATTTAGAATATAGGTAAGACTTTAGAACATAGGAAAAATAGTTAATTTGGAACATGTTCTAAATTTTTTCAACCTATGTTCTAAATATTTTTTTACCTATATTCTAAATTCTTTTGCCTATGTTCTACATTCAGTCTACTTATGTTTTAAAGTTTTTCTTTTCCTATGTTCTAAAATTTTACTACCTATGTTCTAAAGTGTTTTTTTTTATGTTCTAAATATTCTTTTACCTATGTTCTAATTTTTTTTTTCCTATGTTCTAAATTTAGTTTGCTATAATTTTTTTTATTTTTTCTATGTACTAACTTTTTTTCCTATATTCTAAACCCTATTTTTCAAATTTTTTTCATATGTTCTATTTTTTTTTCCTATATCCTAAATTTTTTTTCTTATGTTCTAAATTTGTAACCTATGTTCTAAATTTTTTTTTGCATATGTTCTAAATTTTTCCCCTACTTTAGAACATAACTTAAGATCATAATTTTATAACATAAAAAGCACAATAGATTAGATATACTTTAGAACAAACTAGACATATTTATTTGTTTTTAGCATAATAGACTTCTTTGAACATAGTAAACATACTTTAGCACAAAATAAATACACTTTAGAATTATTATTATTATTTTTTTTTTAGTTATTATGGTTTCATTTTTGAAGTTTTTTTTTAGTTTCTTTTAGAGATAACCTATGTAGGAATCGAACCTACATCCCCTATGCATTTGCATAGTGCTCTACCAATTGAGCTTATAGGTTTTAGCATATATTCACTAAAAATTAGAGCTAATAAGTTATGTTCTATTTTTATTTTATTTTATTTTATTTTTTTTTTTATTTTTTTTTTTGGTGTCTATGTTCTAAAATTTTCCACTCTAAGTTCTAAATTTATTGTATCTATGTTCTATACCTATGTTCAAATTTTTTTTTCTTATGTTCTAAATTTTTTTACTATGTTCAAAAGTTTAACCTATATTCTAATTTATTTACTATGTTCTACATTTATTTCCTATGTTCTATTTTTTTTTTCTTTTTCCTACCTATGTTCTAAATTTGTTCTTATATTCTAAACCTTATCTTTCTTGTTGCTAGTAATTTTTAAAATTTGTCATTATTGACACAATCATAACCATTGTTTTGAAATAAGTTGTTGTAATACTTTCCACCAAAATGTATTCATTTAGCTTCTAATTCAACAATGTCATTAACAATCACAATAATACAATATGCAAGAAGAATATATGAATTAACGACTTAGTATCATTTAAGGTATTATTTAGAGCTTTGAAAGCACAGACATAATTGATATAGAAAAAAAAAAATCACAAGATGTATTACGGCAAGTTACTAGAAAAAAGCTACTTCGGAACCTAAAATCACATCCTAGGCTGTAAGGGGACAAGGTAGCTTGGGCATGTTTATAAAATCACGACATGCAAGCATTAAGGAGCAACTCAAATGTTATGAGACTGACAGGATATTGATCATGCAACGTAAGTAGCAAACTGAAAATACTACAAAGAATCAAAGATGTTTATATCCATCAATATATCAAAATAAAAGGAGCACTCCTAAAAGAAGTAATCTGTCCTCTATCCCATAACTAGCTGAACTTGACCAAACTTCTCGTAATTTTCATCCAAGAGCTAAGAGGACTCAAATTTAAATGATCTTTTGCGCTTCTTCTTTCATTTCCTCCTAGACTGATTATTTAAGGTGAGAAGAATAGGTGAGTGATCAGATTTGACCCTGACCAAATGTGACACCAAAGCATTCGGAAAAGCTGTTCTAAGAAGAGTTCCCAATAAAACGGTCAAGCCATTCTTGAATCACTGTGTTCATAGAAGTTCCCCTTTCCCAAGTAAACCAATGTCCATCGTAGCCAAGATCACGGAGTCTGCAGCCATTCATCATCTCACGAAAATCATTCATGGCCCTCCTCTCCGAGCACCCGCCCTCCTTCTCATCATAAGAGTAGATTTCATTGAATATACAACACTACTACGTGCTCACACTACTCATTTACACGGCTTACACCATACATGATTGTATAGAAAAACCGTCTATCCAACCAAAACCAAAACCAAAACCAAAACCAAACATTATCAGGGCTCTAAGTGCAAGCAGTGACATCTATAGTGTAGTACAGTCATTCAAAAATTAAATACAAGCTATTCAAATAGTTTGCATTCGAAGCTATGGTTCAAGTCAAACAAGCAGCCCACATAAACCCCTCATCAATCTCCCCTGCTCAGCCACTTAACCTTCACCACTCCCTTTCTTAGCCTACACCGCATCTCCAACCCACACCCCTCACCAACCTTCTCATTCCTCTACCAACAACCACCACCAAATTCATACCACCATAGTAGCCGCTAAACAACAGCACATAAATCGCACAAAAAAACCACACAGCAACGACACAACAACAACAAAAAATCGCACAAAAAACACACCAAAAAACCGCACATAAATCGCACAAAAAAAAATGGTAAAATGACGCAAAAAAATAAATAAATAAAAAAAAACAACCAATAATAATTAAGAGTAGCTGGAATTCGAACACTAAAATCGCTGAAATTAAAATCCTAAATCCGCTGAAAGTTCTAGCCTTTAAATCGTTTGAACCCTAAAATCGCCGAAAAATGAAAATCAAATCAGAACTATCAAAAAATCGACTTAAAGTTATGCGAAATTCATGAAAATAAAATCTGGAAATTTGCAAAAATCAAATCAAAAAATCGCAAAATCTACTTGAACATCATGCAAATTTCATACAAATTTGAGCTAAATCGAAGATAAAAAAAATAAATAAAACCATACCTGATTTGAAAATCCTTCAAATTGCAACTTCTATGAAGATTTTTGGGAGTGTGAGGAGAGAGAAAGTCATGAATGTATAACGAAGAGAGAGAAAGTTAGTGTTGCTTTTTTATTTTTATTTTTTTTACTGTAGGAAAGATTAAAATTGATTTTATTTTGTTTTATCCTGATCGCTCATCCCAATCCCAATCCAATCCTACGGCTGAGATTGGTTCTTATATAACTAGGGTTCTTATATAAGGAGTGGTTCTTACCGGATCCCTCCCCTGTATATATATATATATATATATAAGTGGTCATTTGATAAACTAAAGAAAGCAACAGCATCAATAAATATATTGGGTTCAATCTGCAGTACATTTGAACTCTTCTAGCCATGCAAGGTCTAATTCTATACTTGCTAAGAATCCTATAAAGTTATAATCAAGAAAATTGTAGCATAATTTGATGAAGGCAAATCAAACTACCCCAATTGTGCTAAAAGCAATATCATATGAATATTGTTCAAGTTCCATACCTACTAAAGAGTTTTCATTGTCCCTTAAAAACAAAGTTCTCCTTTACCCCTATACTGGGAAGGCAAATTAGCCATGCATCAGTCCTAAAGTCCAATGTAATACAAGTACGTAGTATATTGTTAATACATCATGTTCACATATCACATCAAAATTTGATTGGCTGTAACATTACGAAAAATGGGAAGATGATTTAGGCACACCCAAAATTAATTTTGGCACACCTCCATGTGAAAAGATCATTGAAAATTGTGCTTTTACAATGAGTGTGCAGTGTGCCTAAATTAGTTTCCTGAAAATGGTAAGATGACATATGAACTTTGTAACTAATCCAAAAACAATGACTAAATATCTAGACCTCTTGTTTTAATGATCATACTTCCACAGTTAAAATGTTAAAAAAATTCAACAATCTAGAAACATAGATACTTCCTCTATTATAATAAGTGCATCAGCTTGCACATCGGACAACATCATCGGACAACTTGTAACTTTGACCATTACTCTGTAATATTAGAGTTTGAATACATTTTGTATTGAATAGCAAAGTAAGTACTTACAACTATATATAGAGAAAGCAAATAACCTACCAAAGGAAACTAAGGCCACGGTATAATCAAGGATTATGCCTACAATCATGGCTAAGAATCATTAACTACTAAAAATATAATTGACCGTAATAAAGGTCAAGAAAGGCTAAATATAAGAGCTACAAATAAAGGAAGAGGATAACTACTAGCTATATACAAGGAGATTTGATTATCTCTTAACATGTAATACTTCTTATGTTTCATTGTATAGAAGTAAACTTTATAATAAGTTTTATTATGATAATATACAATGACTAATCTAGATTATACTGCATATAATAATGTTAATTATAAAATATATATAAAAACAAGTCAAAGTTGTTATATAAATAATGCAAAAAGTCAAAACGATATAGGTATTTGAAAATAGCGGAATTTATATTTTTTGCTGTGAAATCTACAATCCAAATCATTAACAATCATATATTCGACTTAAAGTACAAAATTCAATCAATAAATTGTAAAACAAATTTAAAAAATATCAAATATCATGATCTACGTAAGAACAACATACTTAGGACCAGTACAACCCATGGTAGTTCCTAGACCTCCATTGAACTTCAACACCACAAGTTTATCTAAAAGCTCCTTAGTCTTTTGCCTCATGTGCAGATAACTCAAACCACAATTTCATTGATCGATCGACACAATTAAAAATCTAACTTAAATTAATCTGCATTTACCTTCCGAAAACAGTGATAAAGCGTCATATGGAACAACAATATCATCAGTACGAGTCTTGATTTTGCTCCAATCAACCTGCTCAGCTTCTCCACTTCAAAATTTTCAAATTATAGTCATCAATTAAAACTATCAACTTGCACAAAAACATAATTAATCAATTTTTTTTTACTAATTAAGGATTAATTGTCGTACCTAAGGTATCGACCTACAAGGTTGATGAAATCTGATTTCTCATTCGCACTGCAAATATGAATCATAATCATCAAAATAAATAAATAAATAAAATCAAGATCTTAGATAAGTTAAAAAGAGAATTTGAATGGAGAGAAACCTGATATGGTTGAAACCGGAGACAGCCGAACGAAGGTTCTCGAATTTCTGAGCTTCAATGGAGTTGAGAGTAGCAGTTGACGCCATTAATGGAGGTTACGAAGCTTCGAATGACAGAGATAGAGGAGAGAGAAAGAGGAAGAAGGAAGAGTGAGAAAGGTGGAAAGTGGTGATGAGGCGGGAGAGGAGGAATTTAAAAAGAGGGAATGATCAATTTTTGTTTGATGAATTTGGTGCGGAAAACAAAGCAATCATCAGGTTTTTATTTGTTTATTATTATTATTATTATTTTTTTTTTCTTTTAAACCAATTCATTTTTATTTGTTTATTTATTAAGTTACTCGTGGATCGCATGCTGCATATTTAAATATTTAGATTTGATTTGATATTTTTTTTTTTGAAGCAAAGATTTGATTTGATTTGATATGATATGCTATGCTATTGCAAATAACATGTTGATGATTAAATAGTGTGAAGATTTTAATTGTTTATTAATACAACTGCAAACAACATGTTGATAATTAATTAATTAACTTAGGAAACAAAATTAGGCAATAAAAAAAAAAATTCTACTATAATATTGTCAAACCTAAACGCAATGTTGGAAGGGAAAAAAAAAAGTTTAGACAGTATAGTTTTAATTTTTAACATGTATTTTTTTTTAATAATATTGGACACTATACGTTTGCACAAAATAATATACCTTCACATATTAGGATTTAATTCTTCTTAAATATTCATTAGATATTGATGTTTGAGTTAGATGATCTCATTTTCCAGCAATTGCTTATTGTGATTGTTTATAAGGATGATACTACTCATTCTAGTTGAAATTGTTCTACTACTTAATTTCTGCAGCTTTTCAGAGGTTGATTACGCGCTTAAAAGATGCATTCTGGAGACCTTAAACTAACTAGAAGTGTAGAACTACTTCAGCAGTGATGCGCCAGTTACCGCAAAGATTATAAAAATCTTCGACCGGAGAACTATAGCAGTATAGGAAGTTACCAAAAAAACCCTGTATAGGAAAATGGGCATAAAAGGACAGGCCACCAACATAAAAAACAGCTAGACATTATTCAAACTTCTTAAGCTCTGGAACCAGTTTCGCCAAAAAAATTGTTCGACAAAATTATATCTCCAAAACTCAAAATTCTATAATTTGTTCTCTCGTATATCAGAACCATGAAATTACTACACAGACCAGAGAAATCAGGTGATCATGTTTTGCATCCAACAATCCTCAATGCTTTAAAGATCCTCAGCACCATTGATTTCCTGAGGAAAGGAGGGAAGCTATTGTAAATAAACACTCAAAGAGTAATCTATCAATATTTCAGATATCGGTGCCAAGTGCTAACCTTGTCGGCAATTACTGCACCATCTGGAATTTCCAGCTTTGCTCCAGACTTAGCACTGATGGTCACTTTTCCCTGTTGTAGTATAATCAGGTTTAGCTTAAGTACAGAATAATGTAAGGGAAGTCGGAAATATCAGCAAAATGGCGTTCACGCATCACATGATGGTTTTTTATGATGTAACAATTAAACACTTGGTTCACATATAGATGAGATTATGAGAATGAACATTGTGTTTTGATTTTGGAAAGCAGAAGAGCTTTCAGAAAAGAGCAGCTGATCTGAATAATGAGTGTTGATGTTGATACCGAAAGAAAACCTGACTTTTGCTTAAAAAAGGTAAATATGTAATTACTCAAAAATCACCAAAACAAGAACTGCATATTGGTAAAGTGACATAATTTGCAAGTGGAGATTGTGATCAATCAGACAACATCCAAATTGCACATCAGCTCAACTGGATTGAACACACAGGATTGTTCATAATCATCTCATGTTCCATATGTAGACTAATCTATATATAACATTCATAAGCAAAAGGCACAATTACTAGAACTTAAGACACCAGTTTAGTACATAGTGAGAACAACTTGTAGACTTTCCCTCCTTGTTCTCTTTCTAAAATCTCATAGCGAAAATCTAGGGATGGGCTGTCAGGTATACTATCAAAAGAACCAAAAAAAAAAAAAAAAAAAAAAAAAAGAATCTTAGTACCTTGAGAGCAACTCCAGCACCAAACCACACATCTCCTACCACCTTCAAGCTATCTAGCTCAATGATGCTGGGGATAGACTTAAACCGGCTTAAGAAGTTGCTGACCTGCTCATAAGAACATTTAATTATAACTAAGAACCTAACACCATAAACAATCAAAGAACTTCACCAAAGCAAGAAAAACCTTTTTAAACTCAGGGCCCAACTCAATAGAGGGGTTAGTGGGGTTGTTTCTAGCTGGGTTTCTTATCACAAAGCCATCAACAACAGTGTACAGATCCGACTGCAGTAAATCAAATACTGTTAATAAAAATATCATCTATAAATATACAAAACAGGAACACTTCTAGTTGTAGGTCAAATTACCTGGACAAGGAGCAAATCTGAAGTTGCCTTCACTGGAAGGAATCGTGATCGAGGCACATTCATACCAATAGCATTGTCGAAGAACTGTTACACAAAAGGAAGAGTTCATATTAAGATCACTCTTCTAGTACTGATACTTTGAAATTGGATAATAAGTTGAAAATAAGTACCTTAATTGCAGCACCAGCAGCTGTTTCCAATTGAAGAACCTTAACTCCATCGACTTCCTGTAAACAAGATCAAATTAGCCAAAGGCTCCATGATAAATTTAATTACTTCTGTAACCTCAAAATTAGTGGAATACCTTGGGGTTTGGAATAATTTCCATCTTAAGTGCATCAGCTTCTACAAGCCTTTTGACTGCATGCAAATTAACCCACCTGAAAATCAAATTACACCATGAGGTAACTCAGCTATTCATCAATGGTTTGAACTCTTTGTAAACAATATAACTTACAGGTTGTTGGTGTTGAAAATTTTGAACTTCTCAATCGACTTGAATTCATTGACCTGATTTGAAGAACAATCACATGTGATTAATTAAACTCATCAACATTGTATAAAGAGCTTTTTCATCACATACCAAAACTAGTAACTTATGACATGTAAATGAAGGCATTATAGGCAAAAGAAATTTAGTTTTCTTATGTAAAATACGTGTAATAAAAGAAAAAAAAAGAATGAACAAAACTCACATGTTCATCAGGAACCTGTGCAATTTCTAGAAGCTGCATCGCAAGATAAACAAATTTCCTTTATCAGCACCAAGTTAAATAGCACAAGACCAGCACAATGGTAAAACAACATGTTTCATAAGCTTTGACAAGAACGTGATACTGGGTACACCAAATACAAATAAGCTTCTCTTGGTTAAAATTAATGCAAAAGTTAACATGTTAGTTTCGCACTTGCATTTAATTGATGGGAACTTTAAACTGATTCTAATTTGAGCAAACATGGTCTATTTCCAACATCAGGATTCAATTTCGAAGTCCAAAAGTTATATTACTCTTTCATAAAATTAACAACGGTGCCCCCAGATTCCCTTGAGAATTAACATTGATATCATATCAGGAGTAGTAGAGTACAAGTCATCAGATATGCCAACAGCTTACATACAAAGGGCCTAATCTTTGGACATATGAGATAACTCTGATTCAGTTTGAACTTTGAAGTGTGTTGGATTTAGACTTGGGCATAAGCAATTAAATTGGATTTAATTAGACATGCTGGAATTTGAACTCTAAAATCCAAGTCCAAAATATTGTGGATAAATATTAATTCTGTCCAACAATCTCTGGTACAGGATAGAAAGTGCAAAGTTGAGTTACAATTTAAAAACCATGATAGCCATGAATGCTTCATAACACATACCTGGACCTTGCCTTCATAGGAAATAAGAGTACCACCTTTGACATCAGCCAAAGTTTTGGGTGTAACCTAAATGAAGATAGAAAAATAAGACATATGGAAGCAGGGAATAGCATAAGCAACTTCCAAAGATTAGGCTGCTTACCTCCATACAGTATTCGTTCTTATTTTGGACCAAGTGATTTAAGATCTCTGTGTAGTGAATTAAGGAGGACAATTGTGTGGAATCCAACGATGAAAGCTATGTTGCGATATATAAAATGGAATTCAGTCTAAAATAAAGTAATTACTGAATAAATCACATCTTAGTCCGCATAACATATAAGAAAGAGTATATATATATATATATATATATATATATTAAAAAAAAAAAAAAATTTAAAGCCAGAAGTAGGATACTCAAATCCACAATAGCCCCCAGATTGTCAGAGTTAGCAACAAAGATGTACTCCTTGCCCTGTTTGATCAAGTGAAAATCATGATACAGATAAGTCATAGTATCAAGTATGTCCTAGAAAAATCATTACTCCACTAAGTCAAAGAGGTATACAACTGCACAAAGTGACATGGCAGATTAAAGTTACCTGTGACAAAAACAGGTCAAGTTTCCCACTGTTCATCAAGGATGGGAACACATCACCGTGACCAGGAGGATACCTTCATAAGCACAAGATGATCAAAAGAAAGTACATATATATTCCATCAGATCAAATTTTATACCAAATATAGAACATATATGAGATGAGATAGATTATAAGCATCTACATTCAACAAACACAACATGCAAATAATTGAGGCCAATATCAGTGTAAAATAATACCATCCATCCTTGCCGGTTTGACCTTTGCATGGCAATGGCGAGAAATCTTCAACAACCAGACGAGGGTATTGACTCTAAATTGTAAGTAAAATCCAGTGAGTAAAGATATGATTAAAGGAAACACATCACCATACTGTGGTACCTAAAGCAAGAGGCATCAACTCGGCTAGAGTAACATACCTGATTAAATGTGTGAATCTCAACATTTGAATTGGTGTATTTTTCAACAATCTGTATGCAATGAGTTTGAAGTCTTGAAAAGATGCTCCACAAGATAAAAAGACTAACAGCACGGAACATTAAAAAAAGGGTACTTTACCTTAAGTGTATCATCATGTGTGTTGAATGAGTTCATCAGAACCAAAGGCACTTTGGATCCATACTTGCTGTTAAGGCTCTGTGTATCATCCAAAAGAGGGTAAGAGCCAACAAGAATCATAATATACACCAAAAAAAAAAAAAAAAAAAAAAGAGGAGAATGCAGTACCTCAATTTGCTTAACTATAAGGTCAAGGAAAGTCAGGCCATTACGAACTTCAATGACAGACCTGCACCAGATTTAAAAACAAAAGTTAGTATTCAAAGTGATGCTCACACACCAAGAAGCTCGAGACCACATTTAATGACTGAGACAGAATTTTCTGCTTAGTAAAATCAGCAAATGTATCCTTCTAAATATTCTGATATACAAACATTTACAAAGTAAAAGAGGTAGTTTGATAAACTGAAGAAAACATCGTCAATAAATAAGATTGGATCCAAATGATAGTAAATTTGAAACTCAATCTTCCAACCACGCAAGATCTAACATTGTACTTTTGACACTTGCTATGGATCTTGTAGTCCAGAACATTTTTGCATTGTAAATCCATTGTTCCTTAAAACAAAAACCTCCTTTACCACTATATTAGTGAAAAAAAAAGTCTCATCAGTCTTAAATTTAGCTTTGAATCAGCCGGATGCTATAGATTATTAATGCATCATGATCACATGTCACATTAGAACTTGACTGGCTATTACATTATGATAAATTATGGTTCAACTTCCTAGCTTGTTCAAAGATCATACTTCTAATATTGAAAACGTACAAAATATGGATACTCTTCCATCACAACAAACTTAGGTCATGTATTAACATAACAACACATATGAAATCTACAAACAAAATCACTACAATCATACGATCCAACCAATAGACTAAATGTGTCAGATCTTAAAATCATAAATCAACGATCAAAAGTACAAAATTCAACTAAATTGTGGCAAAACCAGAATTTCATGATCTACGTTAAAACGACATACTTAGGACCAGTACAACCCATGGTTGTTCCGAGACCTCCATTGAGCTTCAACACCACAAGTTTGTCCAAAAGCTCCTTAGTTTTAGCCTCATCTACATTTCATCCAAAAATTCAAAATAAATAAATTAATCAATAATAAATAAATAAAATTCAGATCACATTTCATTGAATGATCGACACATTTAAACGTCGAAAACAAGAGTATTTCAATCAAATTGTATCTACCTTCAGGTGGAGGTGATACGGTGTCGTATGGAACAACAATGTCATCAGTAGGAGTCTTGATTTTGCTCCAATCAACATGCTGAGCTTCTCCACTTCAAAATTTTCCAATTACATGCATAATTTAACACTGTCAAATCTCACGAAAACGAAATCAACCAAATCCAGAAGACAATTCACTAATTCAATAATTTATTTTCATTTTGAAAAAAATTGCGTACCTTAGGTAACGAGCTACAAGGCTGATGAATCCAGATTTCTCATTCTCACTGCAATCATAAGTCATAATCATCACAAAAACATCAAGATCTTAGATCCAAATCACATAAAATTGAAGCGAAAATTAATCAAATTATGCGAAAATAAGGAATCGAAGAGAGAGAAACCTGATTTGGTTGAGACCAGAGACAGCAGAACGAAGGTTCTCGAGTTTCTGAGCTTCAACAGAGCTGAGAGTTGCAGCGGACGCCATTAATGGAGGTCACGAAGCTTCGATTAACAGAAAGAAGAGAGAGAAAAAGAGAAGGAAGAGTGAGAAAAGAGTGGAGAGTGGTGATGAGGTGGGAGAGAAGGAAGGCTTTAAAATGAAATTAATGATCCGACAAATACGCTTTTTTTGTCCGAAGCTGATTTTTGTGCGCAAAACTATGCATTTTTCAGATATTTATTTTTCAACTTTTTATTTTTTTTGGAAGGGAAAATATGGTAGGAAGCTAGAAGAAAAGAGAATATACAGGCGAATATAATTCCGGTGTGCGAGTTTTTTTTTTGAGGAAAAAATAATGAGAAAATACATGTATCACAACTAGATAAACAATGAAGCATTTCAAAGAGACACGTTGGACTTGTCCTTTATAAAAAATAGATTATTTATGTCATTTCATTAATTTAGTATGAGACGGTAGATTAACTCTTTCAGTAAATCCGTGAAAAATTGCAAGATTGATGGAGCTCTTAATTATGCTACAATGGAGTTAAAGGTAATCAATGGAAGAGGGAAGCTTGCTAGCAAATGACAAACACTTACCCTTTAGGGTTAACAACACCCTTAATTTCTATAATTTTCTTAGGGTTTTTCGTGAGATTCGACGACTTATGCTGTGTTGGGATTGGGGTTTATTGCGGCGTCAATGGTATTTGTTGTGATGTTGGGTTGATTCCACCATTGTTACAGAGAATGGGGAAGGAAGGCGAAGGAGGATGAAGAAACGTTAGTGACTAAAAATAAAAAGTCAATTAAATCTTTTGTGAGTCAGCAAAAAAAAAAAATAATCACTTTACACGCACAGTAGTAAAAAGGCATTTCAGTTCAGTAAAAATAATTTAAGTTAAGTAAAAATAATTTCAGTTCAGCAAAAATAATTTCAGTTTAGCAAAAATAATTTCAGTTCAGTAAAATTAATTTCAGTTCAATAAAAATAATTTAAATTCAGTAAAAATAATTTCAATTCAGCAAAAATAAGGTGAAGTGAATGGGACCTAACACCATAAAAAAAAAATTGGAAAAATAAGAGAGAAATATGAATAGGAGACCATTAAGTTTAATGTGAAAGGGAAAAACATTATAAATTGATAGTGGGGTAAAAAAAAGAGCAAAAATATATAATATGAGTGAGGCTTCTAAATTTGGAAATAAACACTTAAATAAAAACAGTCAGTTTTAGAGAGTGGGGATCTTAAAAAGGATGGAGGGAATATATCTCATGTTAGATTTTTTTTTTTTTTTTTTTTTTCATTTTTTTCCCCGAATGAAATAAAGTTTTATCTATTGATTTTTTGTATGGAAGAAGCTACGTACAAATTTGGTGGTCTTAAATTGTAGGTTAAAAAAGAGGATGATGTTTTGTAAGAGAATGATGATAATGATTTAAGTGAACACGATTTTACTTTGCCATTATCACAAACTAGCTTAAGTTTTGTGCATCTGTGCCATAAACGTTAAGTCTAATATATATAATGCCTTCGTTTCTAAAAGTTCAACTCACTTACTATTCATATGGTCAAAATAAAATAAGTTTGACCACAGTTTATGACTTATACAATAGAAATAAATTAGCATGTGAGACCTTATTAGATTCACCTTATAATAAAATTTTCAAATATCAATTTTTTGTAATTTTTACTCATACATAACCAAACATGTTCACGGTTAAAGATGTCCATTGGAGACCATGCAAATGCCAAGTGAGTCGAAATTTCGAGAACGAAATGAGTATATATATTACAATTCAATGGTAAAACATGATTTCTTCACGTGTCACCATTATTAGAATAACTCTTGGTGCATAATACCTATTTGTTTTGAAATAAATAGAATGGCTAAGTTGTAAATATTATCATGAGTATAAAGTACTATCAAATAGGTAAATAGTACCATAAAATGTTAAAGTGGTATAAATATTTTCTAATGGTATACATAAGTATGTAAATTATACATCAAATATTATACCACTATGAGATACTCCCTCTGTTTTTAAATACCTGATCCACTTTTCATTTCCGACCGTTTTTAAATACTTGCTTCATTTCCTTATTTGGAAAGTTTTTACAATATTTAATTCATTTTCCATACCTAGTGGACCCAACATAAATCACATTATATTAACTTCATATTCTCTTTCCTCCAATTCTCTCAACCACTTTTGCTTTTTACAATTTTTTATTCTTCCACCAACCCCACTACTTCCATATTTTATTACTCGTACTTTCTCCAATATCTCCTAAAACTCCGCACATGGAGAAATGGAGCAAGTATTATATTTAAAAATGGAGGGAGTATAATAGTACTACTAAGACAACTATAATCCAAAGGTATAATATACATGCATAATAGTACAACAAAAGTAACACTGTAACCAATGTCAAATGACTATTTTACCCTCCTATCTGCAAAGAATTGTGCCTAGATGGACTCCCATTATTAAGCAAATGATGTGGTGTCATATCATACTATTAAAGATTATCTATACTAATATCATCATTAACGACCATGTGCCACGTAAATTCTTTTAAATTACGCCACATCACTTCTTAAACACTTCATAATGCCACATCACCTACCCAACATATCTTTATGCCACATCATCACTGAATTAATCTTAATTGTTACGCCACGTCACCCAAGCAACCCACATTACTTCATATAAAAATATAAGGTTAAGGACTTTCGAACACCCAACCACTTATAACAAAGTTGGCTATTTTACCATCTTATCCCATCAAGCATGTTATAAATATGAAAAATAAAAGTACATAAATGTAAACTGCATGATTTAATTATTAAAAAAAAAAATACACATTCAATAATATCGATTTCAGATTTCAAAATCCTTAAAAAAAAAAAAATACCCCAATTGCACGATTACAAAAGTAGCAAACCGGGGCAACGCCCGTGTAATACTAACTTAGCCTTTGTCTTCGTGTGAGCCTTATTTTGAGAGCTAACTTTAAAGTTCGAGGACGAACTTTCTTTTTTTAGGGGGAGTAGATGTAATACCCCGAAATTTTGAGCATATTTTAGTAAATGATTTTTCTAGTATCAATTTTTAAAATTGGTAATTATTTTCAAATTTATATTTTTATTATTATTTTCGTTAAAAAAATAATAATAAATAAAAAACTGTTTTGAAATTTAAAAAAAAAAAGAGAGAGAGAAAAAGAAGAGTGATTAGTTTTACCGGATGGAGATGAGCTAGTACTACCAAACTCAATCTAATTTGGGTTCTATCTTTTGAACTTTCTAGAGAAATAAATCCCTAAATCCCCTACATTACATATACACCTCCTAAATACCAAAGTTGTTCACCGTACAAAAGAAAACCCACCTTTCTCAATTATTTCTCAAGTAATCAACAATTTTTTATCCCCAACCTTGATCTTTGACTAGTAAGCTATAATTCACCACCATGATTCTCATATGAGATAAATTTGGTTTATTTTGGCAAATTCAAACAACTGATTGAACCTCTCCCTCTGTTTTTATGTCTTACCCGTTCAAAATTCTGGAGCCCATCCTCTTTGATAACTCTTGAAAATCTCAATCCGAATAGTTTACCAGAACAAAACCATGGAAATATCCTATCCTTGGATGAAAGGAAGAAGAAGACAAGCTATTGTGGGTCTCGTGAAATGTGCTTGTAAAGCACCATGTTAAGATTACTTTAATAAGAATAGCTTACCTCAGTATCTAAATTATAATGAGAACATTGTTTTATAAATTGTCTTTTCTCCAATTTTATTATAAAGTAGTTTTCTATATACAAAAAGTAGTACACTAGCTTACTAACCCACGTGAGTATTATATTGTAATACCCTGTATTTTTATACGTATTTTAACTTAAATAAGTATTTCTTAAAGTATTTAAATAATTTGAAATGAATTATTTATGGTGTTTCATTAATTTAAAAAGAATTATTTTAATTAAAAGTTTATTTTTAATTATTTAACAATCTTGAAAATATTTTATTTCATGATTTGGAAACTTTGGGGCATATTATTTATAAAAGGAAATTTTAAAGTCAACGAGTTTTTAAGGAAAGTCAAAATACTAGTTTGAATAGGAAAGATATCATTAAGGGTAGTTTGAATAGTGGAGGCATACATTGATGACATAATAGTCAAATCTAAGCTACAGACGGATCACCTTGCTGACCTCCGAGAAACCTTCACCACCCTCAGGCCCACAAGGTCATGCTTAATCCCTCTGGGAAATTCCTTGAATTTTTTATTGATCAAAGGGGGATAGAGGCCAATCCGGAAAAGGTACAGATGGTAATTGACATGAAGTCACCCCGCACTGTCAAGGAAGTTAAAAAACTTACCAGTTGTCTGGTGGCATTGGGGAGATTCCTCAGCCGGTCAGGTGACAAGTGCCTCTACTTCTTCCAGGCAATAAAAAAAAAGACTAGATTCGAATGGGGAGAAAATTCTGAGGCGGCATTCCAGAAATTGAAAGAGCACCTCCACTCATTGCCACGGCTGGTCAGCCCTCTAGTAGGAGAGGTTCTCTATATGTACTTGGCCGTCTCAGACCATGCCCTTAGCGCCGTTCTCTTAGCTAAGAGAGACGACATTCAGCTCCCGGTCTATTTCATTAGCCATGTTCTTCGAAATGCTGAGCTGCGGTACCCCTTGGTTGAAAATTTTGGCCTTGCTCTTTTCATGGCAATCAAGAAGTTGAAAACATACTTCTTGGCACATCCGGTGGTGGTCTACACAGACCAACCCCTCAAGCGGCCAACGACAACCTTGGAGTCATCCGGCAGAATCCTCAAATGGGCCATTGAAATGTAAAGTCTAGAAATAACTTTTGAACCAAGAAAGGCAGTGAAAGGTCAGACATTCGCCGACTTCATAGTCGAAATGACAAGGCCGGCTTAGCCGGAAAACGTTGATCAGGTTTGGAAGTTATATGTAGACGGGAGCTCTACTATGAACGACTGTGGTGCAGGCGTAATTTGCAAGTCTTAGGAAGGGGACATATACGAATATGCACTACGGTTCAAGTTCCAAGCTTCAAATAATGAGGCGGAATATGAGGCCCTGTTAGCCGGTATTCGTATGTGTAAGGCGGAAGGGGCAAGAAAGGTTGACGCCTGCTTTGATTCTCAGTTGATCGTTAGCCAATACCATGGTGACTATGAGGCCACCCATCCGGCTATGATCAAATATCTGCAGGCGGTCAAAGATGAGGCCGGGACGCTTGACGTATTTCATCTAAGTCAGGTGCCTAGGTCAGAAAATAATCAAGCGGATGCACTATCTAAGCTGGCATCATCCGCCTCTTGTGATACGCCTAGGTCAGTCTTTTGGGAAGTCATGGAAAAAAGAAGAATTGAACATGATCCCATTGGAGTTCTTGACTGAAGCTTGACCTGGATGGATGTCATTCGGGTTTATCTGGCAGACGACACTTTGCCGGATGCCCCTTCAGAAGCGGTTGCATTGAAGAAGCGAGCCGCCAGTTTTGAGATCCATAATGGAGAACTCTTCAGGAAGGGTTACCTCCAACCGCTGCTGAAATGTGTTACCCCAGAAGGGATAAAGAAGTTCTAGAGGATCTGCACTCGGGCTTTTGTGCATCACATATAGGCGGCAGAACTCTAGCAAAAAGGGCCAAGCGGTAAGGCTACTTTTGGAACACTCTTGAGGCAGACGCCATGGAAATGGTGAAGAAGTGTGACAAGTGTCAAAGATTTGGCAAACTTATACACCGCTCGACCACTGATTTGACGGCTATCTACAACCCAGTTCCATTTGCAAAATGGGGCATGAACATCCTAGGTCCATATACGCCTGCTACAGGCGGACGGAGGTACATCTTGGTCGCTGTAGATTACTTCACCAAATGGGTTGAGGCAGAGGCGGCCAAGGGCATTAAGACAAAGGATGTCATCTCCTTTATTTGGAGAAACCTTATCACCCGGTTTGGAGTACCTATGTCTATGGTCTTTGACAATGGCCCTAAGTTTGAAACGCCTACCCTCAAGAGCTGGTTAGGAGATCAAGGGTCTCACATTGTTTTGCATCAGTTGGTCGTCCCCAAGCAAACGACCAAGTTGAAGCCTTCAACAAGCTCATCTCAGACGGCATTAAAAAGAAAATTGAAAGAGCTGGCGGTCTATGGGCAGATGAGTTACCTCATGTCCTATGGGCCATCACAACTAAAAAAGGGACAACCGGTGAAACCCCGTTTCTCATGACATACGGCACTGAAGCCGTTCTGCCTATTGAACATTACGAGCCAACACTTCGAATCATGCTCTATGATGAAGAGGCTAATTGGGAGGCCATGCGTCTAGCATTGGATTCTCTCCCGGAGCGCAGGGGCAATGCCGCCTTGCACTACTACAAAAATAGGCAAAGAGACCTGTTATAATAGGCCTAAGAAACCTCATTAGAGGAGGTCTCTAGCTCACAGGTCTCTTTGGCAAAGAGACCTACTCTATAGAACAGGTCTCTTTGCAATTAATAAGAGACCTCGTAAGTGAGATAACAGGTCTCTTTGGCCATAATAATATTTTGAATCTATGAAGGCAAAGAGACCTGTTATCTTTCTCAACAGGTCTACTGAACGCATTAAAAAGACCTGTTAGGAGAGATAACAGGTCTCTTACGTCTTTAATTTTTTATAAAAAAAAAAACAAAATTTGATACCCTATACAGTATTTGTTCCTATAGGGTACCTATATAGTATTCCTGTACCTGTATTTTGTATTTACTCCATAATCTCATAATGTCCATGGATAATATATTATTAAACTTCTATTAAAAAAATATATTATTAAACTTAAGTGGATGAACACTTTTACAAACATTCATTAATAAAAATTCAAATGTAACCTTCAAAAATACTATACAAAAACATCTAAAAATACTCTATTTATTCCCCAAAAATATAAACCATACTCATTAACGTTAGGCACTAGCAGCAGCTACACCAAAAGAAAAACAGCAACACCCCAGCAACAGGCAGCCCAACAGCAGCAGCAGCTTCAAAAGTCTAAGAAGAACAGCACTAAACCCCACGCAGGCCACAAGCACATCAACACCCTGAATACTCACTCCCTGATCAGGAACTGGTTTTCCAGGAAGAACACCTTGCTTGCTAGATTCTTGCACCGGCCTGTAACAACCAATGCAGTACACAAGTGATAACGAAGTCATGAATAAGACAATGAAATCTCCGTAAGGAAAACATTGAGCATGATGTATGAACAGAGAAAAGATGAAATTTTAAAAAGAACAAATTACACATCAGTAATATCAGTAAATGAAACTAATTACAGGGTAAAAGTGGGCTTGCAGGATTTGGAGGTTAATTGACTGGGGACCTTACATGTTTTGTAGTAGAAAATATCAATAAATAGCTCTAATCCTCTTTGCCACAATATGGTAATTGATACACGTATGAAATCATATCAAAAGCACATAACCAACTGGAAAAATGTATAATATTCTAGAGCTGGTGACTTTTATTCATACAACTGAACACATTAGTATTACTGTCAAGATAATGTAACCTTACCATGGCAGTCACATTAGGATTGCCATCTCGATCACCTCCCATCCATGAACCAAACTTTATGGGCGTACATGTCAAGGGAAGTGTGTTACCAGTGTGCTACAGAAGCATTACATATAAAAACACAAACATAAGAAACAGTTAGACATCTTCTATACGGAAAAGGTAGAGACAATTCACATGGAAACAGACCTTCTTTAAGGCATTACTTATACCCAATTCATCATTATATTTTAAATTATGAACTGATTAATAACTGCTCAGCATATATAGTGCTTTAAATCACAGATCCAGAGCCTTGCTTTATATCCTGATTAATTATGACATGTCTTATTAAATTAGAAAAAATAAACTAATTAATCACCTATTCAATTGATCAATTACCATAACTATTAAAAGACAATTATTCAACCAAGTATTCAATTTTCTAACATTCCAAATTTCTGACCATTTAAACAATTAAACAACAAAAAAATTAGACACAAAACAGAAAAACACAAATACACAATTAACTTAAAATTTCAAAAAAAAAAATCACATAACTCAAGTACTCATTCAAAAATCAACATTCAAAAAATCAATCATAGATTAATGGAATGAGACAATTACACAACTAAATAGACAATAACATAAACAATTAAACAGCAAAAAATACAAAAATCTGATTTTAATCAAATTAGGAATTTAGGGTTATAACTTACTTTAAAATTAGATTGGAGATTTTGGGAAAGTGAAGGAACAATCCACAACCGAAGGTGGGGTCCGCCGGTCTGGTCGTCCGTCATCTCTAGTCGTTGCCTCGCCGGAGGTCTGGTCACGAAGGCAGGTGGTCGGAGTCAAAATATCAAATACGAAGGAGGATTTTTGGTTTTAGTGAATTCACAAAAACAGGGGAAAAAATTTGTAAACTATAAAACAAATCTCCAATACCAATTTACTAAAAAAAAAAAAGGAGTAATTTTGATGGAAAAAATCTACACCATGAACAAAAAGAATCAATAAAAAAAGATATGATAAAAGTACCAACATTCAATTGTAGATGATTTTGTACTAGTATTACCTTTGAAATTCTGAATTAATTGCAGAAATTAGGATCACTTATAACTTATAACTGATGAAATGGAGAGATTATGAAATCAGGGTTTCGTAGAAAAAAAAAAAATCAACCGAATAGAGCATCGTTGTGGTGGCCGGCGCGATTTGTTGGTGACGAATTCAAATCACCTATAGGAATGGATTCATAAAAGGTGGTGACGACGACGGAGTTCTAGAAGAGAGAGAAAGCGACCTTTTGAAGTGCAACTGAATTCCTGATCTGATGAGCGACGATTATAGGTTGGAAATGGTGGGGCTTTTTTACTCCGCCTATGGTTGCAGCGGACTTTCGTGGTGCTTAATTGCACAGAGAAAGGGGAAGGGTAAGAGGAAGGGAGAGAAAGAGGGGATAACGAAGAAAGGGGAAATGGAGTTTCATTAAAGGTGAGAAGAGAAGAGAGAGGAGGTGAAAGAATGGACGGAGGAAAGGCGAGAGTTGGTTTAAGAAGGGTGGGCCCTTACATACATAAGAGACCTGTTATGATAAACAACTGGTCTCTTATCTCTTTTCTATCTACAACAATTGCCCCTTTGACACATTAGAAACCTGTTATCAGTAACGTTAGGTCTCTTATATTAAAGAGACCTGTTGTATCAACCAACATGTCTTTTATTAGAGGTTCCTTTGCCTATTTTTGTAGTAGTGTTGCGTCATGAGATATACCGTCTGAGAATGACGAGAGCCTATAACAGAAGAGTGCAAAAACGACCCTTGATTGTGGGGGACTTTGTGTTACGGAATATGGAGGCCACCGGTAGGGCCAATGCGCAAGGAAAGCTAACCCCCAATTGGGAAGGCCCCTACCGGATTTTTGAAGAAGTTAGAGGCGGCGCCTATCGCCTTGAAACTCCAGACGGTAGGCAGTTAGCCAGAACTTGGAATGTAGATAACTTGAAAAAGTACTACTTCTGAAAACTTGTAAATCTTTGTAAATAGAGTATGTTAATAAAAAGATGTTGTATTTATGTTTTCCTATACAAAGTCCCATCTGTGCAATGCACAACTGGACATACGTCTGCTCTAAATTGAGTAGATATAAGCTAAGTCTCAAACTTAGTAGCTATCTATAAGGCCAATGGCTGGATAGTCTTCAAATCGACTGCTCCAACATGAGCAGGCAACTGGCGACGCCCATTTGGGTGAATTCGTCGAAGAGAGCATCTCCCATTTGGGTGGTACATTGTTCTATAAATCATAACTCAAGCGGTTTTAACCGACTGTCTAGGTTAAAGATAACTCACGACCATTTGAATGATCAATTGAAACCTAGATACAACCGGTCGTTGCTTCAAAGCAACACAAAAGGTAACTGATATCTTGGTCAAATATAACCGGTCTTTGCCAAAAGGCACTACAGCCGGTTACAAACCCAAATTAAGCAAGGTCTAAACCTTAGCAGTTAATTCATAACCTAGTTAATATGCATATGCACGGCCAATGGCCGCCTACATCCTAACAAACGGTGATGATAGATACCCAAAGGGTAACTCGCAACCGATTAAACGAATAATCTAGGTTGGCCCTAGCCGACACCGTCTGCTAATCCAACTTGGAGAATAATTCTACTTTTAATATGGTCAATGACCGTCTGTCTATCCGTCCGGATGCTTGATTGGACGACTGCCTGTTTAGGGTTGGGCAATTCCTAGCAAACAACCGTCCAGGGGCAGGAAAAGCCAATGCATCTGGCATACCACATCCGGCATACCGCATGTGCTGAGTCAAATTGCAAAAAGAAAAAGATTTGTATGAGCATACTAGAAAAATTGCAAAATTGAAGCAGATTATATCAAAGGCAAATATGGGAAAAACCGACTCAGTCGGCAAATTCTACTAATAAAAAATCATTGTCAGCCGGAACTACGTCTGGGGAAAAGAAGAATACATGAAATACTTGGCTCGCAGGCCGGAGATAGAAAGAAAAGCAATCAAGATTCACTGCTGCTGGCGAGGCTGAGACGTCTGACCTTAGCTAGATGAAGGAGCATCTTGAGTTTGCTGGGGTTGAGCTTCATCACTACTAGAAAACAGTCAATCAACGACGGAAAAAATCCGTCGGAAAACCCTGAAATTCCGTCGGAAAGCATTGTCGGAAGACCTTTTGTAGGTATTTTGCGATATTCCGTCGGAAATGCCTATTCCGATGGAATTTCCGACGGATTTGTTTCTGTCGGCGCTTTTGTTGACTTTCAATGTAAATCCGTCGCAAGGTTCCGACGGAAATTTCCGTCGGAGTGGGATATTTTCCGACGGAAATTTCCGTCGGTAGGGGAGATGTTTCAACGAAATTTTCCGTCGGAGACGGGATATTCCGATGGAAAATTTCGTCGGAAAAATAAATAAAAAAAATAAAAAAAAAAACAGCCACCACCCCACCTGCCCAGACCACCCCCACCTGCACCCGCACCCACACCTAGCGCCACCAGACTACCCCCTTACCCACCACACCAACATTGCCCACCTACCCCCCTAACCCACCCACCCACACCACCACCACCACCAGCCCACCCCACCCCCTGCCCCCCTGACTACCCCTCTACCCACCACACCTTAACCCCACCGTAACCCACCAAAACCTCTAACCCAAACCCTAACCCACCACACCTTTTCCCAAACCTTAACCCACCACACCTTAATCCCACCATAACCCACCAACCCGAACCCACCTCACCACCCACCAAAAAAACCCTTAACCCGTGAAAAAAAAAAATTAAACAAAATTTATAACATAAAATAAAAAACAGAAATTAAAAATTAAATAAATAGATCTAAAATCAACACAATTCAAAATTTAACAAAAATATACATTGAAATTTAACAATTCAAAATTTAGCAAAAATTTAACTTAAATATACAATTATTTCAAAAACTAAAAGTTATACATTGAAAATTTGAACAAAATAAAACTAGATCTAATTCTAACCAAAATTAAATGTAGATCTTTCTTCGGTGTTGGTGTTGTCGGAGGTTGTTGCGGTGGTGGTGTTCTTGCGCGGCCTTGATGTAGCCGGTGGTTGTTGCGGTGGTGTTCTTCTTGGCGGTTGTTGCGGACGGTGGTTGTTGTAGTGGTGGTGGTGTTGCAAAGAGGAGTGATAAGGAGATCGAGAAGAAAGAGAAAGGGGGAAAAAGAGGGATGAGAAGAGAAGAAGGAGGGATGAGAAGAGAAGAAGGAGGGATGAGAAATTAAAGGGAAAGAAGAAGAAGAACAGTCAGGCAGAGGAGAGGGAAAGAAAGAGAAAGAAGAGAGGAGAGAGGAGAGAGAAGAAGAAAAGGGGTGTGGAGAGAGAATAGGAAAGAAAGAGAATTAGAGGGGGGTGTTATCAGATTTTCGTGTTTTTAGATTTAGTTTTTTTTTTTAATTTTTTTTTAAAAAAAATTCCGTCGGAAATTTCCGACGGATTTTAAATCCGTCGAAAATTTCCTACGGAATTAAAACCCGTAGGAAATTAATATGTTCTGAGGGATTTATTTTCCCTCGGAATTTACAGCTTCCGACGGAAATTTCTGTCGGTAGATATTTTCCGAGGGAATATTCCGTCGGAAGCAATAAATTCCGAGGGAAAAAAAATCCGTCGGAATATTTCTGAGGGATTTTCTGTCGCAACTTATTTTTTCCAACGGATATTTCTGACAGACCAAAATTCCGTCGGAAATTTCGAATTCTCCAACGGTATTTAAGTCCGTCGGAACTATTCCGTTGGAAAACGACCTATTTCTAGTAGTGCATTAGCCTCACCCGACGCTCGTTCTTCCGCCTGCTCCTCCTCTTCTTCCTCAACAATGCCAGCACATTCCTCGAAGGGAGCTGGCTTCTCAAGCCTAAGGGCTTAAGCGTCGTACACCTTGGTGGAAAAACTCCCATTCGGTGTCCGGGTGGATGAGGGTCCAGGCCATCTTCATGCGAGCCTCGCAGTCCCGCTCAGTTTCAGCAACCAGCCGAACCTGCTCGGCTTCTAGCTTGGCCTTGTGGTCAGCCTACATTTGGGCCAGCTCATTCTTCATCCGGGAGACGTCTGCCCTCAATTGGGTGTTCTCCTTGTGGCATCCCCCAGCGCTTTGACATCAGCCTGGAGGTTCTTAACTTGCAGCTCAAAGTCAGCCGCCTTCTTGTTGGACACGTCAGCAGCCGCAGTGAGCTCCTTGATTGTCTCCTCCTGTTTCATCTCCAGGATTTTAGTTTAAATTTCATACATTAAAGTGTTGTATTGAGTAACATCAATAAGGTCAGCCGCCCGCCTATTGGCGTCTCTTACCTCCTCTTGCTTTTTCCTCAAGGGAACCTTGAGGCCCTCTACTCTTAACATCACCTGCAAAATCAGCTGGAAAAGGGTTAGCCTCTCAATTATGGTACAACTGGCAAAAGAGTAAATTGTACAAAAGCACCCAACCGACCAATTACCTTAGCAAGCAGCGAGTTAATGCGGTCAATGTTGACCTGGTGCACACCCGGCACCGCCTCCTTTTCGGACCGGGTGTGGGTCCTCAGCATCCTCTTGGCATATTGTTGGAGGTCAGGCCAACGAGAAGAGGCATCTGCATCAACAGATTTATTTGTTAAGTATTGAGCATGGGCAGCACCTACATTCTGCCGGCTGCTTGAAGAATCCCTTGATTGGGTAGCTTAGGACTTGACTCGCATAGGCCCAAGCAGCCAGGGGGATCAAAGGTGATAGCCATACCTTCATTTTCAGGCTGAGGGGTCATCCCACCCCCAGCTGCATTGGAACCGGTCGCTATAGCAAGCTGCCCGCTTGAGGGAGTTTCAGGCTCCATCGTCTTAATCTCAGTCGGCCTTGTGTTTAGGCCAAGGTCTTTCAGGATCTTGCCTGTTGAGGTGGGCCTTTCAGGCACAGGAAGCCTTCCGGAAGAGGGAGGGGCAGCCAGAGTCCTCCTAGACTTAGAAGGAGGCTGGGAGGGCTCTTCGCCCACTCTTTTTAGCATCTTTCTCAAGGAGCGAGGGATGTTCTTGCTCCTCGTCTGAAAAAGAAACAATACAACCGATTAATATCAAAATTGACATCAAACTATATAGACGGTAATATCAGCCGAATCTTACCCCATCATCCTTGGCCGCCAGTTTTGCCCCTTCTTCTCTAACTGCTCCTTTCGAATCTGAGCAGCCGATTTAGTGGGTGTCTTCTATGGAGGAACCATCTCTAATCCTTTCTCTGCAAAGAAGAAAATCAAAAAGTCAAAATCCATTCAAGCATGATACAGACGGCGTAAAGTGCCGGTTATCAGTTAACATACGTCTGCTAAACATTGTGCTAAAGCCACAGGCGGAAAGGAATGCCTCGTCCTTTAGCCAATCCGGATGAGGGACCCAGTTCTTGGGGACAATGACTTCAGTCCCATCATCCAAAGGCAGGGAGGTCTTCTTGAAGAGCCCTGTCTCCATTATTTGCATCCAAGCCTCTTCCGGTACTTTAGGAA